CTGAACCTTTTCCTTTCTTTTCATTACACTAAGTCCTTTGCACTTCTGTAGAGCTTCCCAGCCCAGGATCTCAAACCATTTTGCAAATATTAATGAATGAAGCCTCATATCATCTCTGTGAGGTAGGTGTTGTCCCCATTTGACACATGGGGTTGGAAAAAACAGTGTTTCAAAGGGAGAATAGATTTGCACAATTCAGCATAACCAAATGTTTGACCTCTCATTTACTACTTACTGTGTAGAATAAAAGGTGTATAGAGAGGCTACCCACCTGTTTCATTCATTGACCCTATCTAAAATGCATGTTGACGTTGTTTATTGGTATAAGAAACTTAGAATTTCACAGATGTTGACTAAAGCAGTGTTGCTGTATGAACCAGGATGACAAAAAAAAGATGCAGCTCTTTGGCACTTTTTGGCTGTCACCTGGATGGGTGAGAAGAATTCAGCTAGATTAAAAGAGCCTTCATAGGAGTAAATGTTTGAAGCCAATCACCTGAATGTGCCGGTGGTTTATGATGATGCTTTCAGAAATTCTGTACTTGCAAAATCAGACTTTGTCTCTCTGTCACTGTTATCAAGAAAGGCCTTGCAGTACTTCTGCAGTCACACCCTTAATTCCCTCCTGTGGCATCCTTTTTGATGCCAATACAAGAGCTATTCAGACTACGTGGCTTCAGCCCAGCGGGCCCAGGACTCTGATTTCTTCCTGCTCCTGGACAGAGTGATTTGTTTTTTAGTATTTTGTCACAGGCTTTGGAGGGAGAAGGCTGCACATGGTTTCATAGGCATATTCATATTTAAGCGGGCACAGTTTTGTGTTCTCTTTTGACGCAGGCATGTTGTGGCAATCTTACATATTCATGGTAAGGACCCATACGGTGATGTGTAGTCCAGGCTGAAATCTGCTCCTGAAGCTCCTCCTTCCAGTTATTAAAATGGAGGCATGATCTGTAATCAACTGAAAATAAGCCTGTCCACTCCAACCTTGGAGGATGATCTTGAAGGAGGCTGTAGCTTCCACTAGTCTCTCTGCTTTCCTCTTGGAGCCAAGGCAATGAAACGTATGCAGGGCTCTGGGTCGCTCTGAGGAATGAGTTTGCCTTGTGATTTTATCCCACTTGTCTCTTCCATTCAGCTGAGCATGGAGCTGAAGCAAAATTTGAAGAACACCATGACGCAGAAGTACCGGAAGGAGGGAGAAGAGAGCGTTACCAGTGCAGTAGACAAACTGCAGCAGGAGGTAGGTATCTCTAGAGGCAGGGAGAATTAATGCAATTGCAGGGCTTAAAATCAAGCACACAAAAGCCATCGTGGGTTCTTAACATCCAACATACAGATGTTTCTTCTGTATGCTGAGCGTACATTCTGCTTCTGATTCAAGACAAGGTTGGGTGGCGTGCAGGGCCTGGGCCATGCGACTGGCAGAATTGCATGGTGTGATCTCTGAATTGCATGCCCAGTACCACTGGGGAAACAACATCTGAATTGCTCCCAGAGTGAACTGGAGCTGCCTAGTCACTCTGAGAGCTGTTTCTACTTCCCACTTCAAAGCTTTGGAGAAATTGCTGACATTTTTCATTAATCTCCTCAGTACCCTAGAGAGCAAGATGTAATGAAAGAAGAGCCTTCCTGTGCCTGGCTCAGGGGTGGTTCAGGTTAGGGCTGCCACAGTTCTGGCAGGCTTTCCTACAGAAAGGACCCTTGTGCACAGGCACTTTCAAAGCATGGGGCCTACTATATGCATACTGCCATAGCAGGTGCATTTGCGATAGTAACTGGTAATTAAACTTAACCTGTTATCACCATTAACACTCTCCAGTCCGGTGGTTAAGAGCTGAGGCCCTTGCAGGTGTGCTCTGGTTACAGTTCATTCCAGCAGTAACAAAAAGTCACAGCTGCTGAAAGATGAATGAAGCTGATATTTAGTGGCCATTTTGGAGACTCTTAACACAAAAGTCACTAATAATTAGAATAGCCTAAAAAAAAATGCTCATGAGATAGCTGGAGTTTCTCTGCAAAGTGAAGCCCAGGGCTTGGTGTGGGAGACTGGAGGGAGAAGGAAATTACAGTGCTTGCAGGCTCAGCTTTGCTCTGTGTGCATGCAGTTCAAGTGCTGTGGGAGCAACAACTACACAGACTGGGCTGACAGCCTGTGGATCAAATCTTCAGAGGCCAATGGACGGAAAGTCCCAGACAGCTGCTGTAAGACGATAACTGACCTGTGTGGCCGAAGAGACCATCCTTCCAACATCTACAAGGAGGTAAAGAGCAGAAGGGCTTCAGAGCCGCCTGTCACAAAGTATGTAGAGGAGGTGGGCAGGGAGTGAAGGTGTTGGGTTATTGCTGCAAACTGTCAGTAGGCTTCCAAGTCAGTAGGATTCCTTAGAAAGCAGAATTAATTTCTCTAGTTGAGCATTCAGCCATCTAGGTTATTATTTTATATGTAGATATAGAGAAAAATAATAAATTATATTTGTTACTACAGAGTATGCTAGTGATAGGGGGAAGTGGGAAAGGTTGTTGGTTCTGGTAAGAGACTTGGATGTGAGTCCTACATTTGACACAGCTTACTGTTATTGGAATTACTCAGTGAGGTGCAAATGGAGATACTTCTGGTCCTTGATTGAGATAGTGGGATTTGACCTACAGCATGAAGAAACAGCATATGGGGAAGAAAGAGGGCCTCACAGCAGACAAATTAGGCCAGTTCCAGTGGGCTGCAGTTTGGGCTGAAAAGAAGGCTGGAGTTGAGATAAAAGTGCCTTGTCTCTTTTCTAGAAGAAGCAAATTGAATCCCAGATTAGCCAAGTAACTAAACAGGTAGCCCCTCTGTGTGATGTGGCTGGTTCTTCTGCATTTCTCCTGCCCAGCTAGCAACCGCCTTGTGTTTGTTCGATGGTTCCTGAGCCAGTAGGTCCAGAGCAATACAAAACATGATGCAGTTTACATCATCTGTGTGGCTTTTCCAGTGATGTTGGGGGAAGAGATTGCTCACAGAGACTGCTTTTTATAGCATTGCTTTCAAGGGTCACAACCATTGGATTAAAGTGAACAAGAGGTTAAAATGAAGCTGATTTTCCATGTCCTTCCTTTCACCCTGCAGAGCGGTTGCATTACCAAGCTGGAAAACTTCATTCAAGAGCATCTGAAAATTATCGGGGCAGTGGGGATCAGCATTGCTTGTGTGCAGGTAAAAGGACTGAGTGGAGTTTTGGGGGTGCTGGGCAGAAGTTAAAGGAACCCCAGAGCTGAGGGATGGAAAAAAATTGGATATTTTAGGCTCTTCCCTGCCTGGGAAGGAGAAGTTGCCAGGTACTTCAGGAACCCGAGGATTCAGTAGCTCCAAAGCAAAAGCCCCTTCTGCCGCTCTGAAAAATTTGCTTCTGGTGAAGAAGTGCAACCAGCTGGGCAAGGGGGAGAGACTTCTGCTCCAGGGCTGTGGGAAGGGCAGGGCTGGCCATGGCAGGCGGTTTGGCAGCCTGAGAGAGACCTCTTGTGGGGATATGCCGTGATTGCCTGCGCAGCTGAAGAGCCAGTCTGGAGCAGATTCCTGTCCCAGTTCATTACTATTATTTTAAGTCATCCAGAATTTCTCCCTTGGCTGTGTCATATTGAAGAACAGCACTGTGGGTCTGCAAATGATTTGGGAGGGTGTGATGAATAAAGGGCTAGGATATGGATGCCCCGCACTCCCGTTTTAGAGGGGAGAGCACAGAATATTCTTTTCTTCCAGATGCAGGTGTCTCTGGGAGTTCCTCATCTTCCCCTTTGTTTTGGCAAGTAGCCAAATTACACCCCAGAGAAGCTGCTGGTGATTAATTATGAGGATTAGCACAGATTATGTTCTCTCCTGCTGCTTATTGCAAGCTGGAGTGCGGTATTCCCAAGCAGGAGCTAGCTGCCACTCCAGTCTGGGTTTGCAAGCTGCTGCCTCCATTGCATCCATTCTGTTTTTTCATGCATTTCTCTCTTCTCTTTACACCCTGTAGATCTTTGGGATGATTTTCACCTGCTGCTTGTACAAGAGTTTAAAGCCAGAACCATATTAATAGCTGCGGGAACTCTGTCACTCCCCCTCTGCCACTTCCCTTAGCGCCTGCCAACCTGACCACTTTTTACCACCACCACAGAAGTGTCTGTAACCTGAGGACTTGGCTCTGTAATTAAATGCCTTTCAAACCACGCACCGCCTTACCTGCCCCTTTGGGGGAAAGTCACCCTCCTTGTTGTGTACAAGGCAGCCAGGAGTTCAGCGGGTCCTCTTCATTGTCAAGAAACAAAAGAGCTGTGGATCTTCTGCTAGAAGCTTTAGCGAAACAGACCCTTGATGTAACTACGAAGTAAGATTTATCCAGGGCCATTTCTCTTGAGGCTTTTCCTGAGCCAACATGAAGGTATCAGGATGCTATACAAGAACTATGGTTTGCTCTCTGAGAAGTGGCTCAGCAGCACCAGGCATTGACTGTGAGGACAGATGATGTTTCTGTGCTGAGCTGGAGCCAGAGCTGAGTCTCTCATACATGGAAGATTTCTTTCCCTCCTCCCAAGTGTGCACCAATGTCCTAACACAGCTGTTCTCCACCTGAGAGGATGCCTGCCTGGTTGCTTGGGGCAGGAGCTACTCTCCCTGCTGATTGGGAGCATAACTTGGTGCAGTTGAAATCTTGTCATGACTCTGATGTTGCCAAGATGTGGGTGCCTTAGGATTTCTCAGCAATCCTTCCTCCTCTTCCCTGAAGCTTCCCCCAACACAGTGCCATTAGGAGCCACAAGAGGCCTTTTGCTTCCTAGCGATTCTGGAGCAAAGACGATGGACTACTTTCTAATTCTTTTGGGTCTAGTCTGTTTTATTGAGTGGCTTCCAGTGTGAGTGAGAAAACTTTGTTTCCTCCTACCTATCCCCTGCTGAGGTTTGGTGAGGAACTGGTCTGTTTGTGGAGCTGGCATATCTTGCTACCCTTTGGCCTGTTTGGGTAGTGGAAATACCTTTTCACATCTCCTACATGTTGAGAGATGCCCTTGGCTTGATTTTTCTGATTAAAACCTCCAGGCTTGTCTCTCTTGGGCAGGAAATGAATATATACAAATGTTTTATCAGCCTCCAAAGAGCTTATTAATCAGCTGAGGGTTTTCTGGCTTTAATGAGATCTGGAAGCCCACTTTACTGGTTACTGCCGAGAAGGTCAGGAGAGTCAGCTTCAGCCAGTTGCCCCAGTGTACTTGGTAAATTGGTAGTACTGGGTTAACTGTCTGTTTGCTGCAGAGGAATAGGTTTTAATTAAATATTCTCCCTGCATTGGGATCCTGGATACATACAGGACATAGACATCACTGCTGCCATGGACTTAGTGCCATCGTGATGCCAACAGGTTCTTAGCCTGAGTTCATAGGATCTTGTGTGCCTCTTGTCTTGTTCTCACCTTCCTGGTATGCCTGTCACACCCATGAAGCAGAAAGGGCTGTGGGGTTTTGGTGTTGCTAGGCAGTGAAGACGAGCCCTTTCATAAACAAATTTATTCCCTCTCCTGGCCTTTTAGTGGTGCCTGCTAAGCAGACAGTTAACATGAGCAAAATCACACAGACCCCTACAGGGTCTTGCAGAATCGTAGGGTTTTTAGTTCACAGAGCAGGAATCTTGGACCGGTGCTAAAGGGTGACAAGTTAAAATTCAGAGCAGGTCAATCTGAAACTCCCCCATCAACATCAGCCCCATGAAATAATCCTTAACTAATGCAGAAAGAGAAGTGGAGGAACTGATGTGTATCCTTGGTTCCACAGCAGTAGGAAAGAGGGGAAAGAAATCTAAATTATTGTGTAATGATCTAAAGGAGAAATCTCTAAATTATTTCTTGTTTTATAATCAAGTTCCTGACAAGTATTGACTACTAACTAAGAGGAAAATATTGAGCATGTTGCTTGAAGCAATATTTCTAGTTTCTTAAGCATATCTTCATAGCTGCCTTCACCCATTCCCTTCAAATATGTTGTACAGGGTTGGGAGAGGCCAGGAAGAATGGGATATGAACAGTAAGTTGGCTTGTGTCCATTGAGTTGTTTTATACTTTTTCTCTGTGTAATAATATTCATTGCTTTTTTTTTTTTTTAACCCAGTTTAAGTTGCTGGCCAATAGAAAAATAAAGCTTAAGATTCTGTACTTACTCTGTGTAGCAAAATTAAAGGGGTACCGTGAGCCGGATGGATTCCTCAGATCCTGCTGCTGAGGAGCCAGTTCCTCAAGAAGCTGGTCTGAGGGACCAGGCTGAGAAGGAAGCTGGGGAAGAATCTGCTTCGCGTCACTGATCTTGCCAGCGTGGTTATGATCTGCTGCCATGGGGTGCTGCAGAATGCTCCTCTGTGTGGCAGCCCGAGAGCTGAAGTCGCAGAACCTCAGGGTACCAGGTATTGCGTGTCAGCCGTGGTCTGTGCACCCAGCACTGCTCCAGGCTCTGTGGTACTCCTCACTGCGCTCACTGGGATACTTAGTGACCTCTCTTAGCCTTGTCACTCAGTCTGCACTTTCTTGTCTCATGCAGAGCGCTGAGGCAGACAGAACAGGGCCTTTGCCATCAGGTAACTTGCATTCACCTTGCTGGCCCAGCTGCTCCCTGTGATTACCAGTCAGGTCTGCTTAAGAAGACCGGTTGAAGATACAAATTGGCTCAGGGCTCTGCTGTGCTCTCCTGCTTACCCAAAAGACAGTGGAAATCTTTCCCCTTTCCATCCTGACTGTAAGGACATAGGTGGGCTGCGGCAGCGGGGATGCCTCTTCCTACCCCTGTGGGATAACAGGGTGTGTGGGGGTGCTACATGCTGGTGTGTGCTGAGTATTTGCTCTACGTGCTGTGGAGTAGCTTGTAGCCACCTTGCATCACAGACATGTCAAAAAGACGGAGCACATGGGTGCCCTTTTTTATTACCCTTTCGGATTTAAGGTTGAAAATGACACAAGTTTCGAATACGCCTATATCCAGCCAGATGGAAACGCCTGCCTGCAGCTAATGGGCATGGCCGCTCGGTGGCTCTCGGCACAATGCGCTGGCAGTTCAGCTCCTGCAATTCAAGTGAGTCTAATTCAAGCTGCTTGGCTCTGTGGGGAGCAGGGCCATGGTGTCACCAAGCCCCAGGGAAGCACAGTACAGGTCATGCTGGTGTTCCCTCGCCTGGAAGGGAAGGTCGCTCCTTCCAGCCCTGGCAACGTGCTTGATTTTCATGCTGCAGCAAGGCACCGGTCATACAAGACTGAGGCTGAGGGCTTGACCTGGTCTGCACTCAGCTCAGAGTAGGGACTTCTGCTAAAAAAAGCCACAAATGTGTTGGCATACAGCGAGGAGACAGACCTGGGGGGCTCAGTAGTGGCAAGATGAGCCAGCACCACTGCTATGGTACTGCTGTGGGGAAGGCAGATGCACTCCTGAGATGCATCGGATAAGACAGGGATGTGGTCATGTCTGTTTATGAGACCTTGTCCCAAGACCTGTGTGCAGCTCTGGCCACTGGTTTTCAGGAGAGGTGAGTTGAAGGTGGAGCGCAAATGAAGAAGGGAGGGCTCATCCCCGAGGGCCGTTCACCGAGGTGAGGCTGGAGGAGCGGGGCAGGCAGGGCTCCTGCCCGCATGCTTGCAGCGGGGGCACAAAAGGTGGCATGGATGGCTCTGTGCTAACAGCATGTCCCAAACAGCCACCAGGCCACCTCGGCTGTTCTGCCATGGCAGAAAGAGAAATGCCCACAACTCCACTCCTCGTGCCTCGTCCCGTTCCCCTCTGTGTCACTAGGGGTGCAGCGTGGTTCCCGTCACCCTTTCCCACCCCTAGAGGGAAATTAGCCCCCCTTCTGCAAGACTGTCATGGGGTGGCATCTGTGAAGTCTGTAGCACGGTGTCTTTCAGCATGAAGCAATTGCATAAAAGCAATTTCTCTTCTGGTTTGAATTGACTTCTGCAGTGTCTGTGATCAGGGTGCAATTACCATCTTACAGCATCCCCATGGGATACCCCCCGCAGCCTCAGGTCTCTGGGTGCTGCCGCCTGTCTCGAGGCGGGAGTGCGGATTTCTCCCCCTCCGGACCTGGAGATTTGGGCTGTGGTAATTGCCTGTTGCAGTAATTAGTTCAGCTGGTGGTCTGCTCTCTTGGGGTGCCTGGGTGGTCAGTACAATTTGCTCAGGAATAAAAGGGAAAAGAGATGGAGCAGTAAATAGTTTCTGCAAGGGTCCGGCTTCAGGGCAGTCACCCTGTTCCTGCAGTTTCAAACAAGACATGAGTATTTCATGCTCCCCTGCAGGGCTGCTTCTAACCCGAAACCAGTTCACAAACATGTCCTTTCTGCTCCTGCCATTTAATTGGGAGGAATTTTCCCCCCAGGGAGGCCCTGGTGCCCCTTTCTTTCGCCATTTATAAAGCCTCTCTTCGGTGGTGGCTGTAATGTCCTTGTTTTCCTGCTGTGCTGGGGCTGAGCAGGGCTGTGGTGGTGGAGAGAGAAAGACAAGGAGCAGGCAGAGAAACTCTCCTTCGTGGCAAGATACGACAAATACACCCTGCTTGGGAAATGGCAAAGGGGAATGCTCTCTCCTGCCTTGAAACCTCCCCACGTTTCCATGTGTATGCGTACGTGTGTGCATGCACCCCTGGGAGAAGGTGCTGGGTGCTCTGTGCTGCTCCTTGTTGCACAGCACCGAGCAGCGACCAGGGATGCCTCAAGCAGCACCGTTGCTGAATTGGGGCACAGGTGTGCGTGAGCAGAGACCGACAGCTTCTGGTGTGGCTGGTTTTGCTGTGGGGGTCCTGGGCTGGCTCCCGCGCCATTAAAGAGCAGCTCTTCGGGCTGCTGGCCACGCTGGGCCGTGTCTCCCCGGCGAGCTGCTTCTGCAGGAGGAGCGCGTCTGTCTGCCGCTTCTCTGCGCCAAAGTCTGGTCGGGAGGGGAGGTGGCGGTGGCGCTGGTGGCACCGCCCGGCTGGCCAGGTTCGTGTGGTGCCTTCAGAAATGACAGATTCCCTGCGGGGAGGGGGCATGATGCTCTCAAATGAGCTATAATCACATGAACAGCAGGGATGCTGGTGCCCACCGGATTCATTCCTTGACTCATTCCAGCACAGCAGATCATCAGGCACACTGGGGTTTTGAAGTCTGCTTACTCCCCGCGGAGGCTGCTCCTCCCGCTTTCTTGGCTGCCTGCATTAGCAGAAAGGATGCTGCATGCGCTGAGGCCATCAGGATCAGCAGCTTTCTCTCTTCTGATAACTGCTCCTGCCTGCAGAAAAGGAGCTGCTGAGCATCAGGCGTTTCCAGGCTTCATTTTTTGAGTAGCGAACTGTCTTGCTGACAAGGGAAGAGCAGTTTCTGCCTACACAGAGTGTAGAGAGAACCCAGTGCCCCAGCAGGGCCTGGTCCTGCCAACGGCTGCTGTGTCCCTGTACTGGGGCAGCAAAACCCAGCCCTCCCCCCTTGCAGTCCCGGAGGTAGCTTCGATGGCTGCTGCGTATGTCTCCGGCAGCTATCGGCGGAGCATGAGGGTCACGCTGAGCCCCTCGCACCCCTCTGTGGTTACAGGCCAACCCAAACCGGGCATTGACCCTGGGGTGCAGGGCGTGTGGAGTGACGCATCACAACTTTAACCATATGTGTGTGTACATATAGCTATGTATCTCCTCCTGCCGTCCTGGAGGATTTCCACTGCCTGCAGGAAACTTTTACAGGTGAGGTTTATATTTCTTATTTTGCTCAGAAATGCTGG